GCGGGAACGGCTGAGACTCCGCCCCGAGGAGCGCGGGCCGGGTCCCAGCCTCTGCGGACCCTTTGCGGCTCCTGGAACCAGAGACCACGCCCCCGTAATAAAGACTGGAGCCCGGGTCTCAGCTCCCACCACGTGGACTTTTTGCGGGGCGTGGCGCCAGGTCTGGACGTCAGCGCGAACCACCGGCTGCCGTGGAAACAAATGCTCCACAATGTGGGGGGCACCAAAAAACGCTCCCGCCTCCCCGCACAGCCACCGCAGCCTGGCACTTTCCCTTCCAGATGCTCCCTAGGCTCTCCCTTGATCACTTTCATTCATTTATCACACACAGGCGCTGGGGATGACCTGAGAGCAAGGAACCCATTTATTCAGCACTTACGTGCTAAGCACTTTAGACACATTACTTCATTTAATCCTTGCAACAACCCTCTGAAGTAGATAACATCACTCCCATTCAGGACTGGCCACATCATTTGTGGGGCTCGGCGCAAAATGAAAACGCAGGACCCCTTGTTCAAAATTGGGTTAAGAGCTTCAAAATGGGGGCAACGGAGCATTAAACCAAGTGCAAAACCCATTTTATAGGTGAGGAAACTGATGCTCAGGGAGGTTAAATGGCGTGATCAAAGTCACAAAGCTAGCTACAGAGTGGGGCTGGGATTCAGCATCAGACAGTTTGGCTCCACTGGATTTGAGGTCCCAGGCTGCGCAGCAGGTTTAATTTTGGCAAATATTGACGGACTGTAGTGAACGCAGTGCTGGGCATGCCTGTGGAGGAACAGAGCATTATTAAGCCCACAGCCTCCAGCGTCTGGGAGCTCAGAACTCAGTGGGGCAGGCAAGCTAGGTATAGAAGCCCCCAAGCTCTGTTGTTTTACTGAGTCACCTTAAATCCTTTCCAAGGGCTGGCAATAAACTCAATCTCAGCCATGCAGAGGGAGCCTGGGCTTATGTGGGATCTGGGAAACCAAGGGGGAGGGCCTGGTACCTCATCGTGGGGGGGCACCATGGTCACCTCCCTCCTTTTCTACTCAATGCTCTCCAACCACAGGACCACCAGATACTGATGTGTCCTCAGTGCTCAGGGTCTGGCTCTGCAGACAGTCTGCTGCCAGCCCCACCCCCGTTGGGGTGCTGGGAGAAAATGGCCTTCCATAGGCCAGAAACACCAAAGTTGAGGTCCAGGAAGACACACAGCGCTGCTCTCCTTCCTAAGGCTGGGGTGGGGAAAGGTGCTGCTTTTTTGTTTTGGAGGGAGTCCCACCTTGGCTGTTGAAGGCAGGATGGACAACAGCACCTACTTAGGAGTCAGGCCGACAAGAGTTCAAAACTCTGTTCCAAGATTTGCACTTAATAATAATATAATCACTTAGTAATAAGTGGTTATGCTCCCTGGCCTTGAGTAAATTACTTAACCTCTCTATGACTCTGCCTCCGTTTTCTTGTCAAATGGGAACATGAGCTCCTTCCTTATGAGGTTGCTATGTGGCTCCTCCCAGGCCATTTTCCATTTGGCCCAGGGTTCACCCTCTTCAGAGGCAAACCAGGAGGAATGAGCCTGCCATACCCCCTCATTCCTATTTGCCAAGCAGTGCCAGAGTCCAGACTCTGTCTGTCTTCTGCCACACACACAGGAGGTCCCCATCCTTGGTAGCTGACCACCCTTTGCCCCTCCCCTACTTGGGCTCTCTTCTAAACTGGCTGTCACTCTTACACTGCTTCCCTGACCCCTCCCCCAACGGGTGCTGTTTGGATTCCCATAAAGAAGAGGTTGGTTTCCTTGCTCCCCATAGCTGCTTCCAGACCATCTTCCTCCTTTAAGACCAAGACTCCTCCCTCCTTGAGGGCTGGGAGCCACTGGGCTGCCCTTGCCTCCCCTCCCCCACCCCAAGGACTGCGTTCCACTCGTTCTTGCCATGCTTCAGTCTTGGCTCACAGTCTTCTACTCACCCAGATCTTGCTTAATCCCATGTGACTTTGTTGTCCAAGAGGATGACCTTGCCACCCCCATGACGTCTCAGCAACCCTCACCCATGGTCACACTTTGGAGATTGTTATCAGCCCAGATTCCTCCACATTCACAGCAGGCTTCCTGTTCTCTGATCTGACCCTCATTCCTCCCACGGAGCACCCACCAGACCCTCCGGCTTGTCATTCCAGCTTCTCAGAGATTTCTCTCCTCCATATCATCAGTCGCCTTCTCTAAACCAAATCTTTCCCCTTGGTATTTGTCATAATTAGTCTTGCCCATCTTGAAAGCATCTTTTCCCTCACATCAAGTGTCCATCTTATGTCCCCCCACCCCCAACCCACTCCATCAGCCTGTGCTGTCAGCCTCACCTCACTGGAACACCATCCGCCAAGCCCACCAATGACCTCCATGATGCTAAAGCCAGTGCCCCTTTTTCTGTCTCATCTCAGTTGGCTTCTCTGTTCCATTGCCTCTGGGGCGCCACCCTCTCCTGTTTTCCCTGTGACCATTTCCTCTCTTATCTTTCATAGATGCGTTCCTGAGTTCCCCAAGCCCGGGCATGAGCCTGCTCTCTCTTCCTGCAGCCTTCTGGGCCCACACTGTCTCCACACTGAACACCCGATTCCTCTCACCCACCAACCTCTCCTCTGCATCCCAGAGCCTTGTCATGTCTACCTGTACGTCTCAAGGGCACGTCAAACCAACATGTTCAAAACTGGCCTCATCAACCTGCACCTAAGCCCCTCCCTGTATCCCCTCATCAGCAAATGGACCCACCACCCAGCACAAGCCCCACTCTGCAAATCACTCCTGACACCTCCTTCTCCTCACTACCAATCCTGACAATCTTCCCTCCTTTACATACATCCCCTTCTATCTCCACCTCCACCTGGTGCAGACCTCCACCATCTCCCCTGGTCCGGCCATGGCCTCCTAACCACTCCTGCTGCCACTCTTGCCCCTTTCCAGTCCATTCTCCATTGGGAAGCCAAAGGGAGCTTTCCAAAGTGCAGGGTCACTCCCTTGACTAAAGCCCTTCAATACTTTCTTCTTCTCCCATCAATAACCAAAACTCCTTCTCATGACTCACGAGTCCCTCCAAGACTTGGTCCCTGCCCTCTCCCTCAACCTCCATCTCATCTACTGCCTTTCTTCCCTTTGCTCTGTTTTGCAGCCAGGCTGGCCTTCTGCAGTCCCCCAGCTCTGACTCACTGCTATGCCACAGGGCCTTTGCACATCTCTTCCTCCTGCTTCCCCCGTACTCCCTGCAGGCCCTCTTCAGATTCCATCCTCTTGTTCTTTGATGGCTGCTACACAAACGTGATTTCCTCAGGGAAGCCTTCCCCGCTTGCCTCTCCCACCAGACTAGGTTCCTTGTTCTAGTCATGGCACTTCT